CCAGTTCTGAAAGACTCTACACCGAGCCATGGGGACGAGACAGGAGTTCAGTACAGCTTTTCATCCTCAGACAGATGGTCAATCGGAGCGGACGATCCAGTACTTGGAGGATATATTGAGGGCTATGGTCCTGGACCTGATCCTGACTTGGGAGTATGCCCTTCCGTTAGTCGAGTTGACCTATAATAATAGCTACCACACATCGATCAAGATGGCCCTGTATGAGGCATTGTACGGACGGAAGGTCCGTACTCCTTTTGTAGCGCCCCGTTCGACTATTAGATTTTTCCGATTTAATTTTGAATAATGGCGTTTTATTTTTATTTTTCTAAATGCCTTCATGATATGGCCACATGTTATATTATTGAATGAATTTTACGAGTTGTTCGATTTATTTTACCGATCCCCATTTGTAATTTCGGTTTAATCGCTAAACTGAAATGTTATCCGTTTAAATTCGTTTTCGAGACGTTTATATCCGAATTTCAAACACTATCATTTCAACCCAATTGAGGAACAATATCGGTCCATATTCGTGGGTTCAAGTAGACATTAAGTGAGCATTAAGCTTAGTAAATGCTTAATCAAGAGTTAAGCATGACTATCAAATTTTAATGTTAAGTATGGTCTAGCATGGGCATTACCTTACTTTATTTAATTGTTGTAAGACCTTGTCTCCTACCCATTTGATGCTTTGTTCACACCTTATTCAGCCACTTTAGTGCTCATTTTCTTTTTATTAAACCAAGTTATGCAAGAATCTTGACCACCTTGGACATGAAGTTATGCCACCTTGGTCTTCCACCATGTCCCCCACCATGCTCCCTCAAAGTTTGACCCACTTTGGAGATGTCTTTGAGTTCTATTCTTAGCTGATAAAGCCTTCATTTTTTCCTTAGTATTTAGCAAAGAAACCCCCAAACATCCAAGCAAAATAGAGAAAAACCGAGACCAAAGTTTTATTGCTACAGAGAGCATCTTTGAACACCTTGCGGTTATTCCAAGTTCTAGCCATTCAACCGAGAGAGAATCTTCATTTTAGCTCTTATTCCTCTCCTAACCTCCACCAAAGAAGGTTTTAGCAGCATCCTTATCCAAGGAAACAAGAAGAATCCGGGTTGTAGCCTCAAGTAAAACCACAAGCCATGCATAGTTAGAACTGAGCTTTCTTTGTTTTTTCTTGAAGTTTTGAAGAGATTGGTGTTCTTCCCTTTTATAAAATGTTTAGTAGATGAGATAATGTACTCATTTATGTATTTTCTTACTTTAGAGTTTCAGTTTTAAAGTAATTTTAAATATGCAATAAGTTAAGCTCCACCCGCTTTGCATGCATAATTTGTATGTGTTGTTTCACTTTGTTTTTGAGCATGTTGTGAGTAACCTGGTAATGTGAGAATTATATAGCTATTTTTTGTGTTAAAAAAGAGTTCATAGGATCAAGAATCAAGTCTTTTAGCCTAGTATAACTCGAGTTATTGATTTTTAAAGTTAGGCATGCAAATTGAACTTTACATGCGCGAATTCAGTTGCAACTTCAAACGTGAATAACTCGGGTTCTACTTAAGTTAAAATTATGAAATTTTATGAACATGTTTATATATGAGTTATGAGCCTGCATACCAAATTTTATGATTTTATCTTAAGAATTGTTTGAGTTATGATTTTTACAAAAATATTGCACGTACAGTTTTTAAGAAAACCCGACAGCATGTTAAGTTAGATGATTAACCCAGTTTCTGTGTCGTAATGTGCTCAAACTGAAATGTTTTATTCATGAATTTTATATTTCTTTGAGTTAGGTCTCTGTGAGTTTAGGAATTTTGTGATTCGGAGTTGAATTAAATTTATTATGAATTTTTAAAGTTGAAACTGCAAGCACTTTTTGAAATTCTGGGCAGAATTGAGAATAATGATGTTGGGCTGTTTTTGACAATCTTAATGTGACTATGTGAAAATATGATCAACATGAAACTTGTAGTAGATGTTATATGCTTTCTCTGAAAGTTGGGGTTATGTCCAGATTTTTAAAACAGTGATTGTGTTTAAGATTGAAATGTATGCTCTGAAACGAGGACCTTAACGTGGTTATTTGTAACAATACTCTTCTTGGAACTTGTAGCAATTCTAGTGTAGTTTCTGTAGGTTTTGCGTTTGCATAACTTAGAGTTTTGTGGCATGAGATATCTCTGTTTTAGTGACCTTCTTTAATTGATAAAAGTTGCGTTCGCAGATTTCTTAACCTAAGTGTTTTACGCTTAAACTCTACTGTAAAGCTATTTTTGACTTAAGTGTTCAACAAGAAAGTTGTGTATATATGTGGTAGCTGCTCGTTAGTTTTAAAATTACTTGAATAGAAAACTTGTAGCTCATGTTACTTTGGAAATATTGAGACCATGCGAGTTGCTCATTCCCATTTTTGCTCTACAATTATGTTTTGTGTTATTGTGGAAGTATGTGGCTAATTTATATCACATGAGCGTAGTTAAGTGATTGTGTGTTGGATAGGCTTTCATAGGACTATTTTGTGTAATGTAAGTGTGTGACGAGTTGTGTCTCGGCCTACCTTTTTCCTCAAATTTCTGTGATTTCATCCTCCGGATACCAGGTGGATCTTATTTAAATTATCTATGCCATGAATGATAAGTGTTTATATTTATGAGTATCATATATGCATGAACATGAAATATGTAGCCTATCGATGTGAGTTGCTATGGCCGTCGGTACGATTATCAGAATTGGGTGAGTTATGATTTTTACAAAAATATTGCGCGTACAGTTTTTAAGAAAACCCGGCAGCATGTTAAGTTAGATGATTAACCTGGTTTCTGTGTCGTAATGTGCTCAAACTGAAATGTTTTATTCATGAATTTTGTATTGCTTTAAGTTAGGTCTCTGTGAGTTTTGGAATTTCGTGATACGGAGTTGAATTGAATTTATTATGAATTTTTTAAGTTGAAACTGCAAGCACTTTTTGAAATTCCGGGCAGAATTGAGAATAATGATGTTGGGCAGTTTTTGACAATCTTAATGTGACTGTGTGAAAATATGATCAACATGAAACTTGTAGTAGATGTTATATGCTTTCTCTGAGAGTTGGGGTTATGCCCAAAATTTTAAAACAGTGGTTGTGTTTACGATTGAAATGTATGCTATGAAATAAGGCCCTTAACGTGGTTATTTGTAAAAATACTCTTCTTGGAACTTGTAGAAATTCTAGTGTAGTTTCTGTAGATTTTGAGTTTGCATAATTTAGTGTTTCGTGGCTGAGATATCTCTGTTTTAGTGACCTGCTGTAATTGATAAAAGTTGTGTTGGCAGATTTCTTGACCTAAGTGTTTTACGCTTAAACTCGACTGTAAAGCTATTTTTGACTTACGTGTTCAACAAGAAAGTTGTGTATATATGTGGTAGCTGCTCGTTAGTTTTGGAATTACTTGAATAGCAAACTTGTAACTCATGTTACCTTGGAAATATTGAGACCATGCGAGTTGTTCATTCCCATTTTTGCTCTACAATTATGTTTTGTGTTATTGTTGAAGTATGTGGCTAATTTATATCACATGAGCGTAGTTAAGTGATTGTGTGTTGGATAGGCTTTCATAGGACTATTTTGTGTAATGTAAGTGTGTGACGAATTGTGTCTCGACCTACCTTTTTCCTCAAATTTCTGTGATTTCATCCTCCAGATACCAGGTGGATCTTATTTAAATTATCTATGTCATGAATGATAAGTGTTTATATTTGTGAGTATCATCTATGCATGAACATGAAATATGTAGCCTATCGATGTGAGGTGCTATGGCCGTCGGTACGATTATCCCCGTCGATGTAATACGGTTGCCCTTGTGAGGTAAGTCTCCTTAAGTCCTAATATGGCCGTGACCTTGTGAGGTACGTAAGTCCATATGGAAGGCCGTGTGCGTAGCGTGGCATGTACTCCCACCTTCGGGTAATGAATCCTCGTTCTGCGGCTAGCGATAAATGTGCACAGGAGTAATGTGGTTGTTGTGATCTTGATAGGAGACGAGATATGATATGATAATTTTATTTTCATACTGCGACCATACTATTTTGACACAATGTGCATAGTAGTGAGCACTACGTTCATTTTGTGCTCACTCCTACCTGCTCTTCACGGATGCAGGTTAAGCAGGTGCCAGATGACGGGGGAAGACGAGTGGGTCGGTCTTTGATTTATGCTTTATGTTTGTGCTTCCGTTATTGAATAATGTGTGGTCCTTGTGAACCTCTTTTGGTTGAGACGTGGTGAATCGTTTTCAAAACTTAATAATATTTTTTTTTGGGATTATTGGACCAATGTTTCGTTTGGATATTCGTATTGGAATTATTTCTTGAATATCATGTGTTCGATTATTCATGTTATGATGTTTAGCTAATAATCATGTAAAATTGAAGTTTTAAGGGTTAATGAAAACCATGTGAACAACCAGATATGACTTGGTTGATGTTAAATGTGTGAATAACGCCCATATTTTCGAAAACGAGTTCAAAAAATTATTTATTGATTTTTGGAAAGTCCGAAAACTCTTTAAAATCAAAGTGGGGTGTTACAGATTGGTATCAGAGCCAGTATGCGTTTCTGTAGACTGGGTTATATGTGATTATTGCCTGACCTTGTGTTGACCACTCGTCTCCGTCATGCCACTCTGCCTTAATGTATGTCCTGTTTAAGTATTAATGAAAATGCTTAATTGGTGAATTGTGAATTTGGACACATGTAGCAATGAGACTACTTGTGATGTAATTGTTATTTTTGAGGCATAGGATCTATCCACCTTTAAACGATTTGAACTCTAGTGTATACATGGCGAACTCTAGTTTTCCTTATTATTACTGTGTTAAATTCCTCGGCCATTTTTCAATGTCGAACTATGGCTCGCCGTAATGCTCGTAACCATCATCCTTCCCCGACTCCATCTCCTCCTCCATCTCAGCATCATCACCAGGCCCCTCCGACCATGGATTGACTAGGATCATAGTCCAGTTCCAGAACATGCATGCGCCGACCTTCTCGGAGACTGAGAACCCCACAGCGGTACTGGAATGGATCAAGGAGCTGGATAAGATTTTCGTTGTGCTCCCTCTCTCGGACCGACAACATGTATCTCTCGCAGCTTATCAGACGAAGGAGGATGCTTTCGACTGGCGGATTGACCACTGGGCTCGGAGGCCTGAGGCGGAGCTTAATGCTTTTATTTGGGAGCAGATGAAAGTGATGGTGCGTGGCAAGTTCCTTCACCAGAGTTTTTGGGATCGGATGGAGCATAAGTTCTACCATCTGCAACAGGGCAACTCCACCGTGGATGAGTATATTCGCACTTTCCCCCAGATGTGTCTTTTTGCTGGCGACTCAGTGAATACTGATGCCAAGAAGGCCTGCAAGTTTCTCAAGGGGCTCAATCAGAGGATCCATGAATTGGTGGGGATCCACGGACTGATGTCTTACGCCGACACTGTGAGTCGGGATCAGGAGGTGGAGAGCTGTCTCATACAGATAGCTCCAATTTCTTCATATTATCATGCCTACCAGCCTTCTCAGACCGTTGTTCAGCATGCTCAGCCCATCTCATCTGTGTCGCCCAGCTCTAGTCCGGGCAAGAGAAAGTCCAATTTCCAGAACAAGAAGAAAGAAAAGAAAGGGAATTTTGGGAAGCGTGACAACCGTCCCACCAGCAACCAAGGCTGCCCGAGATGCGGCAAATCCCATAGCGGCGAGTGCTTCGCGAACCAGCGCACTTACTTCAACTGCAACTGCCCGGGTCACTATGCCAATATCTGCCGTGAGCTGAAGAGACAGCAGCAGCAGCAGCCGCCCTACCCTCAGCAGCAGCAGCAGCTTCCCACACCGCCACCACACCAGCAGCAGCAGCCCCCACCGTTCCAGCAGAGGGCTGGGGGTCAGGCCCGAGTCTATACCATTACCCACGATGAGGCTTCCCGCAACACAGGTACTATGTCCGGAATGCTTTCTATCTCCAACATACCTGTCTTTGTGTTGTGTGATACCGGTGCTACCCATTATTTTATCTCTTCTCGTTGCTTGGAGGCCTTATCTATTAGTACTATGAATTCTTGTGATCCTCTCGAGATTAGTCTAGCCTCGGGGAAAATTATCATCTCCGATTCCTTGGTTCGTGATCTTCCTGTTTCTATTGGCGGACGAGTTCTGATTGTTGATGCTTATATAATTGAAATGCGAGACTTTGACGTGATCTTGGGAATGGACTGACTCACCCGCTATCGAGCCGATATCCGGTGCCTGGAGCACAAAGTCACCCTCTTTTCTAATTTCGATCAGCCCGTTGTGTTCTATGGGGTGAAGTCGAGGACTGTGCCTCGGGTCATCTCTTTTATGCAAGCTAGGAAGAGCATGTCTAAGGGTAGCTGTCAAGGCTACCTCGTATCTTTGGTGTCTGACATTGCTGATGAGCGAGTACCCGAGAGAGTATTCATCGTTTGCGAATACCTCAACGTTTTTCCTGATGATTTGCTCGGAGGACCGCCAGGTGGAGTTCACCATTGACCTAGTCCCGGGAGCTGGCCCCGTTTCTGAGGCCCCTTAATGGCGCCGAAGGAGCTTCAAGAGGTCAAGGCCCAGATCCAAGAATTGCTCAAGCTCAGTCTTATTCGTCCGAGTGTTTCGCCGTGGAGTGCGCCCGTCCTATTCGTAAAGAAAGACGGATCGATGCGCATGTGCATTGACTATCGGGAGTTGAATGCCCTTACAGTATAGAGGTAGGAAAAAACCAATACTAACTAACTAACCGATACAGGGAGCAAAGGCTGAGGAATAAAAACCTCACCCAAGGTACCTCAAAAATGTTGTAGGCTAGTGCTGAATTCACAACACTAGATGAAAAGGAGTATTGAAACAAAATCGAAGAGGAAGACTAAAAGCCACCTATCGGTAGCCGACTTCAAATCAAAGCGATAGCAGTGAGTCTCGCCCACACGGGGATGGACGATCAGTTGGGGCGGAAGCCCTTTGTTGTAGGGGCCTCATCCAGAGCTCTATCAAATCTGACCAACACTGACTTCCACT